TCTTTCGTTGCAAGGACTCAAGGGAGATAGTTTTCACAAGCTGATTCATCATCCTGCCAAAGACAAACGCACTGAACCAAATCAACCGGCCGTGGAGTCTCTCAAGTTCTTTGGGCGTCGACCTTTGCGCGCTTATCAAACTGTCAAGAATTTGCACCAGCTCGGACTTCCTGCTTTCAGTATGTTGCAAAGAGAACGTGCCGTCATGTATGGCACCAACATCAAAGACTACACCAAGCGACTTGAAGGAGGGCCCAAAGGAAGTCGCCTTTGAGCCCGTTTCTGCAAACCACACCCCTAACATGCGGAAGAGGGATTCGACATAGAAAGACACGTTGGTCTCTTCTCCGTCCACACAAACACAAGTGTAATCGTCGAAAAAACTTGTCCACAAGATTTGAAGAGCAACTATTCCTATGTAAGTTAGGCTGGCTGCCACACGCAAGAATGAACTCACCGAACCGGAGGCACCAAACGGCAGCGCCAATGCAGCAAAGATGCCAACCCCTCCACCAGGACGCTTGACAGCGATCTTGAGCCTGTCGGCATGCCACTGGTCTACTCCAAACTGCTTGTACGCCGACTTCAAATCGTAAGTGCGGCCAGTGAGCTTTGGAAGGCATCCCTCAGGGGCCTGGTCCAACATGAATGCCAAGTAAGCGCAAAGTTCGTCCACCGCTTGGACGCGAAGCTTCTCTCTGAGCCCGTAGGCACCGTTCACACCACAAATTGTGAAGTCATCCACAAGTCGCACTTTGTCTTTCTGACCGGGAAGCGTTTTGCAACAAAGCATTCCCCTTCCATGGAGCTAGGAGACAACCATCCTTTGTCAACTTCCGTCATAGTCTCGTCCCAAACAAACTGATCATGTTCTGATGGAGCGGCACCGTGGAGAGAGTTGACCACTGATGCGTTCAATCCTTTCGACATGTTGATCAACTGTTGTATTCCAAGGGACGGCCTCCTGACGTTCGGCCTGAACACACCAGTGGATGGTGCCCACCCTGTCAGCTTGAAACCACTGCACATATCATCAATCACTGCAACATCCGGGTATTGCAAATCAACCAGGATTTCACGCCAGAGAAGAAGGCGCTTTCCTTCAAGAATACGCTGCAAATGAAGAGGTAAATTACGATGCAAGGCTTGCTCCTCATCCTTCAACTCAAGGGACCGTTTGAGCCACTTCTTCAAAAATGCGGCTCTTGTTTTGAAGCGCCCCGCCATGTCTCCATCCAGCATGCTACGCACAACTGCTCTGATTTCATTGGGTACCTGTGCAATGATGTCTCTTGGATGACCCTTTCGGATCGCATCACTTATGAAGTCAGCAGGTTCACGTGGGATGCCTGTTTGCAAGAGTTCACATGGTTCACCGGCCTTCCATGATTCAGTTTGGAGAACTTCCTCATATTTGCTCTCCATGTCATCTCGAGCGACACCCCCTGGAAAAAGAATACGATGACAAACTTTGGCTCCTTTGGGGAGTTTTTGTACAAAACTCTGCACTTCTGAGTCGTTTGATGTCGATGCAAGAAGTGTCACATACCTTCCATATTCAGAGACCAGCGGTCTCAACTTCTGCCCTTTGGGCTGCGTTGTAAACAACTGTCGGCTTGCAACGTTTGGCACCTCCAAAATTTGTTGTTGCAAGTCTTCAGAAAAAGCAAAGCCACTACGAAGAGCTTCGTCCTTGAGAATGCACGCAATGCGATCACACAACAACTGCGGATATGCAGCTTCCTCTTTTGTAGGAAAAACAGTTTGGCCATGGGCATCTTTGTAGGGACGCCAGGGTTCATGTTTGTGATTGCCATCGCATTGCAGCGCAAGAGAACTAAAAAGGTCTTTCTCAGCATCTCTAGGGTTCCAACTCCACCATGCAGTCTGCTTGTCTCGCTTGCCGCCATGCATACAGTGATGAAAAACCGAAAAATGTCGAGCACCAAATGATTCCAAAAGCTTTGCAACATCTGAGTGTTTCCAGAAAAAGGAATTTTTGGGGTTTTCGATGCTGACTGAGATGCCATGTGCAATCAGTTTGAGGATCAAATGTACCGTTGCACTGTAGCTGCTATTTGCTTTGTCTACTCGCTCTTGGTCATGAAAACTGAGGCCTGGCAATCCGTCAGGATAACGTTCGGACCTGAGTGGTTGAGGCCCGGCTTTGGGATGTTCGCCAGGTATTGGGCGTCCCCTGGCTCGAGACGCTGTTCCGCATGATGGCGCAAAATGCGCATGTAAAATTGCATCTTTCTCTACATCGATGAAACTCTCTAAGGCACTCAAGCTTTGGGAGTCTGTTACATCAATTTGGAAAATTGGAAACTGCTCAGACCTATCCTTCGTTTGGTCAACAGCTACAGCCTCAAATCCAAGTTTCCTGCAAGCCTTGGAAAGACGAGCACTGCCAGCAAAAATTTCTAAAATGATGCATCTTGAATTTTCACTGCTAGATCGCAACGCTTCAGCTGCTGTCTCATGCACAAAACTTCCATCATCCACAACTTCATGCGCTGGAGTCACTGAGATCCCAGGGGCTACAGGTGTTCCTGAATTACCACCATCACGTTGTGGAGATGCAACCTCCTCCTGTCAACTGCTATGGCACTTGTGTGCCCCATGTCCACCTTTCAAGCATTTCATGCATGTATGGAAACCAAAACGACAGCGCCCCCGCTTGGTGGCATTCGCACAGCCTTTGCTCAAATTGAAATTCCAACACAGCGGCTTGTTGTCGGCAGTCTTGGTGTGAAATCCCGACAGTTCGGCCGGCAACTGGGCTGGTGCCTTTGGGCTCTGACGTGGTTTCTTCGTAGGAGGTGAGGACGGCTTGTCTCCAGCACTTGTCACAGGCGCCGGTCGTTTTTGGCTAGCCGGAGCAGGGACCAGGTACATGTTGACCCTAGGATCTGTCATGTAAACACGAAGCTGCGCATCCAAGGGAGGCTCACCATCCACCATCGGTGACTTGAGTGGTCCATGATATTCTGAAGCCAATAAAAGAAACATTTCTTGGTCTGCACGGATGATTTGTTGCAAACTGAGCGCCTGGAAGTTCGCCGGGGTGTCAGCCATAAGTGCCCTGAAGAGCTTGTTCACCCACTCAGAATGGGCATCAAACGACATCAATCCTACAAGATCAAATGCCAATCCACGACGCTGCAGTGCGTACATCAATTTCATTTCCGTGCCAATGTCAACCGTCGGCAAAGAATCGGCCGACACGGCCTTCAATGTCCCTTGTTCAAGGGTCAACAACTGTTTCTGTCTAGTCTTTGCATCTGTTTGGATCTCAGAATCCCTCGAACTGCACTTGGAAGGCGCCACATACAGCAATGCACCCGATTCAACAATGTGAAAACACAAGTCAATGAGGCCATGCGATGCCCTTTGCTCGTGCATGTGTGAAATGCCAGTGATCCTAGCTTGTTGGGCCTCAAGGCGTCGCCTCTTCTCGACGTAAGGCAAGGACTTCGATGGTTCAGAAGTGTCACCTGCAACCGCCTGTTTCCTGAGATCTGACATCACCAATGTCTGGGCTTCGAAGTGAATACGTCTAACAACTGAAACCTCGGCCAGGGATGCAGGACCTTGGATAACTCGATCTGCAAATCTTTGCATGTCATGTTCTGAAACCGCCTGCTGCGGTGTGCCAACTGTAAACGCCAAACTCGAAAAAGTCACTATCTGAAGGTGGGTGAACAGGTCATGAAGTCCGTCCATCAACTCATCACATCGTTTCTGAAAAGCAGCCTCTGAATCTATCAATGACATGGCAGCACAGCAAGTCCTTTAAGGATCTGCACCGGCGCACACTATCAAAGGATTCCTGTTAACACTCTGCAAGTTGATCCTTGGCAGTTTCTGAGTTCCTCAGGAAAAGTGATTAGCTAAATCTGAATGCCTGTCAGGGTGAAACGCTTGGATCTGAAAAAGAATAGTTTCCCTCATCAGGGTCGCTCTGAAAAAAATGAATAAGATCTGATCTCAAGTAAACATGATTTCACTTGACGTTTCATGTGCCATTCGATGTCTCCGTTCATGTTTCCCACCATCTGTTTGGTGGATGATTGAGCCCAGGACGCACATGAAATAACGTGCCATGGATTGGCCGCTGACTCCAAGTGCAGGGTGGTCAAATGAGTTTTTGACAAGATACCCTGCCATCCACTTGCGAAGCAAATCAAACAAAGAAAGTCACATTAAAATCTGAGTTAAGGTGCGACATGACTCTCATACCTGAGAACGACACTCCTCTCAAGCTGTGACATGTTGTGATTTGCATCGATGATAAATGTTGAAATGCACTGGATTCAAATGAGGCTCACATTGATGCACCAAAAAGTTGATTGGCAAGTGAACTGACATCTGAATAAAAAAATGTACTGGATTGCACTGAACAACTGAAGCTGACAAAGATCTTTTTCAAGCGCTCGGCATGACATCAAGCATACTCCGGAATCTTCCGCCAACACGTGTGGCAACACGGAGTGTCAAACCTTGTCTCTTGAACGTTTTCATAGCGGCTGGTCTCAGCCATTCTTCCACAAAGCATCACCCTCTGATTCTGCTGTTCCATCAGGTGCAACGTCTTGAGCTTTTTATGTTGGATCAGTTTCAACTGACTTGGCACTGTAGGAGGATGCACTGGCCTCCTGGCGCTGCTAAGTTCAGCAGCTCCCTCATCTGAGCTGGACGAGGTCGTTGCGACTGAGCATCCACTTTCATCTGAGCAAGTGTCCAAGTCGATCACCTCATTGCTGCCTACCAAGTCCCAAACTGACTCGGCAGATTCAACTTTGCATGTCACACCTGCAACGGATTGCACTGCACCTGTGTCCAGTCGCTCTGCATGTTTCACAAGGTCGCCATGGGTTATGTGGTTGGCTGTAACGTCATCAACTTCACCATCCCCAAAACTTGGGGCGTATGAGAACTCACTTTGGTCCCCATCATCACACTGCACTGCCGTTGCAATGGGCCCTGGAAATCTACCACTCCTTGTAGCATCGGGCAAAAACCTGCCCAGCCGCACCTCCATCAGCAGTTTCTCAAGCATGCGCAACGGACGGCCCAAGCCATCACGCGCATACACCAGAGCAGATCGCACTGCTGAAGTGTGTCCTCCAAGCACAAGACGATCCTCCCAGGGCAATCCTCTTTTCGAGCACCACGACAGCAACGTGCACTTGCAACTGTGTGACGTCAGCCTACGTCCCTCAGTCTCAACCTGAACTGATCGCAGAAGAATGGAAGTCCAATGTTTCATCTCTTCACTGCTGAGGGGTCTCATGCTGATTCCACCGTCCTCCAAGGGTGCTGGCATGGTCGGATGGCCAGCCTCAAATGAAATCCCAAGCTCAGAGCGGACCTGCGCCCAAATGTTGATCCAGCCATCATCCACGACACCTGCAGCCGGAGCACAAGCATGCAAGAAGCAATTTCGGAAGGCAGATGAATGTTTCGTTTTATGATCGGCTATCTTCAGCTCTGCATAGGCAACCACTCCGTCTGGACCACAATCCAACAACATGGACTCTGCCTGTTGCAAATCATTCCATCGACTGCGTGAATAAACTGTCAATAGGATCATACCAGCCATGCAACGGTCCCAACAGTCCCGGTTGCTGTCTGCAAGAACACTGTGCAATGCAACCAAGTCTGCAACTTTGAATGGATCAGCCTGCCGCTTGGGTCGAGTGTTACGGCAACCTGACACACCAAGACATCGCCTGGATGACGTCAAAGCATCAAGTTCCTGTACACCTACAACATGCTGTACAAAAATCAAAGACTGTATGATGCTCTGAATCCGAGATGCAGGGGCTCCGGCCACTCTGAGTCCATCCAAAAAAGCATAGAAATCTGTTTCAGTACCAGGAAATGCAATTCGACGTGTTTCCAAGTCTGATGTAAACCTCAAGAATGAATGCACACGTTTCCGAAGAGTGCTGGGCGCCTTCTTCCAAAAAACATCTCTGAGCATGCGCAATCTCTCTGCAGTAGTCTTCAAATGCAAAAGCTGCTGAACTACAACAATGTGACAAGGCAAAAGAATCAAAACATCATGCCAGCGACGTAGCGCCACTTGAAAGTCAGCTTCACGTTTGTCTTTCCAAGTCTGTTCACCACCTGAACGCACAATGTGATGCCAAGACAAGGGCTCTGACACTCGAAGCTTCTTGGCAGGCGCCGGTTCAGCGTGGGGAGCACACGGCACAAAAAGCGGAGGATCTGCAACTTTCCAGTCTTGAATACCATTAGGATCAGTAGGACCCTCGAAAAAAGTCTTCCAGAATCCATGTTCCCACGGCAGTTTCAAAGACGTGTCAGCAGGGCACTCCGCCCAAATGCGATGAAAATCCATCAACGGCCCCCCATGCTAATTGGTTTCCTCATAAAAATTTGAGGTCCCACCCTCCCACACCTTGAAAGAGTATGTTGCGGACACAACATAAATTGATGTGGATTCAGTATTAAAAAATTTGAAGATACCAAACAGGTACAAAACATGCACCACAGTTTGTATCAAAACAGATACACATCACAGCAACTGAAAGACATTCATTGCAAATGTGTTTGTTTCAAAAAAGGTTGTTTGAGGTTTGTAGAACAAACATCAAACAACAACTTGGTGTTTTGGCGACAGAGACGCGAGGACATCAAAGTGAAAGGAGTGCGATTACATTACGGAGGCGCGGCGCTCGCTCGTGCACAAAGGTCTGCACAGCTAGAACTAACAGACCCTACACAATAAGGCCATCATCTTTTTCAAAGAGTTCCGGCGTCATAGTCGTGTTCGCCACTGAGTAGGCCACCTCCTAATCCACTGCAATGCACTTCAAGGGGTCGGTCTTGCATTGGGGCGTCATCTTGCCAGACTTCTGAGAGGGAAAAGACCCAGGATGCCCACTCGTCAGAGCCCTTGAGTGCTACAGGCAGCGCAGCAGCAGGTGTTCTTCCAATGTAGTTTTGTTTGGGCAATTCTCCAACATCTATGGCCTGCTCATTGACAGTGACGTCCCACTTAGCCATCTCTCTGAAAGGTAACGGAAGACCAAATTTCAGGGGAGCTGCTTGCTGCAGCGATGTACATGAGGGTTCCGGTTGTTCCTTTCGTCGCCACAGTCCACACAGCAAAATTAGTTGAGCTTGGGAGAGTGGAGGAGGAGGCACTTTGGCATGCAGTCGCAGACCAACCACTGGAAGGAAATTGTGATGTAGCCATTGAGGCTTCCATTCTTGTGTACCAAATAAAGCTGCAGCCAACGGCAACCAGCCAAACTGGGCGAGGTCAGCGAGACTGCTAGGCATTCTTTTCTTGGCATTGGTGCCAAACCCATGCAGAATAACAGGCCTCATGTAATGTGGCTCGATTTCCATGGCTTGGTACATCTTGTCTCCTGGTAGCACTCGTACACTGACCTCACCTGGCAGCAGGCTAAGGGTCGGAAGGGCACCTTGCTCGTAGGCAGGCCGAGCCCATTTATGGAAGTTTGGTTGTCTGCCTTGGTAGCCATCAAGGATCTTCCGTAAACGACCATGGCGCGGCCAGACTCCAGAGGCTGGGACAGGAAAAGTGACTAATCCAGACCACTGGCCTAACAAACTCCACGCATGGCACCAATCTGCAGTAACACGAGTGGACGTGCCAAGCAGAGGAGAGCCAAGTAATCCACTAGCGACTGCTTGCTCAACATCTGCAGGTGGATATGTGGTAGCAAGGTAGGCTTCAACATGCCTGTGGTAAGCACGAGTAATAACGTGGGCTATTTCATCAGGATCCGTGTCCGAGTCCTCCAAGGCAGTGACAGGTACAGGGCTCTCATGACCCGAAGCTAATACAATGACCAGACCCGCATTGATTTCAGTGAATGCCTCACTCACAAGGATGACTCCTTTGGGCCTGCACGCACTGGCAGTTTCATCCACGTCTGCTTTGTCCTTCCGGGTAGGTTTGGTTGACCCAGCCGGGGAAGAGTCATCGCTGCTGGACGTCGCCCGACGAGACATGCGGGGACTCGGGTCCGGCGAATCACCATAGTCAACTTCGTCTGCCAAATTGGCACCGTAGGTGAGGGGAGGGGCTCGTAGTGGATCAGCTTTTCGGACAGCAAGATTGTCCGCACTATGCGATCTAGATAGCTTCGATGGTGGACCAGGCTGCTGCATGTCCCTTCCCGTGTCAACAGAGCGCGCACGTTTGTGCGATGACGCGATGGGGCTTGACAGTTTGCTCTTTGCAACTTTGCTTGATGTAGCTGGTCGGGTTGGGTCAGTGCTCGCTAGCCAAAGTTCTCGTATCTCAAAGAGGGTCACTGGCACACAATCGCTGTCAATCAGTGCAAAATTGATGGTCGGAAAGAGGAACACACAAGCATCAAGGATGTACGTCCCTGCCCATGTAGGGTGTACCTTATGAAGACCAGTGTCAGCTGAGATGTGGACAAAGACAACTGTGGTGAGTTCTCCATATGGGCCGACATAGCGTAACCGTTCTTTCCACCAAGCAGCGACCATTGGCCAATGGCTGAGTCCATGCACAGACTTGACCTTGTCCGATTGCAAATCACGATTGTCCGTCACCAAATACACGGTGTGGTAAGGCAAGAAAGCAGAGCTTTGACTAACCAACCATCGGTACAACTTGTGCCAGTCAGGTCCAGGTGGAGTTTCACTCCCGTTTACCATTGCAATTTCGTAGTCATGTCGATCAGGTGCAGCTGTCTTCTTATGGGGGTCTCCAAATCGCCAGTGCTGTTCGATAGATACATTCAGCCCGTACTCAGTCGAAATGCTCTTGTGCTGTTCAAGTGCGTAAAGCAGATCAAAGAAGCTGATTGTAGGGTTCTTTGCGTACCAGGACTTCACAACTTGTTCCCTGGAAAGCAGAGACATCTCACTGTTCAGTTCCTGTGTAGCTGATTTGGGTGTAAAGGTTATAAAGGGGGAGGGATAGGGAGGTGTTGAGAATCCTGACACGTCTCTGGTCAGAAGACTCAAGCACTTCTATCAGTACCGAAACTCAAAGTCAAAGAAGAGAAGGAACCCCCAAACCAAGACCAACAAAACAGAAAGCGACAAGAACAAACCCAGAACAACACAAACAAAAGAAAAGGGGGGAGGGAGAAAGTGTTGAAAAACCTGACACGTCTTTGGCCAGGCAGTTCAAGCACCTTAACAGGAAACAAAAGGAACCAAAAACACCCAAACTCAAAAATTAAAACAAGATTGCACAACTGAAGCGGCGCCCAAGGCGGTGAGGGAGTTAAGTGCAATCAAGGGGGGAAGGAGCGGGACTAGAAAAGCTGGAAGCCCTGACAGTCTTCAGTCAGAAAATCCAGGCACGAGAGAAAAGAGGAAATCAGAAAGGGAAAAGGAGGGAGCAGAGCACAAGGACGAGCCAAAGAACAAAAGAGGAGAAGAGAGAGCAAATCAAAAAGAGGGGGGGTGGAGAGAGGCGCTGGTAGCCCTGGCACGTCTTTGGCCAGAAAAACCAGAAGCCAAAGGGAAAGGAGAAAGAGGAATCGGGTAAGAGGAGATTACACAACAAGGGGCAGTATCGTGGAGTAAGGTCCCAGCGCACGAACGATCAGGGTGTAATCTGTAGTATGACGAAACAAGCCTGTAAATAATACCCTTAGCCCAATTACCGGAGAGGTTTGTTATATCTATCCCTTACCGAGGTAAGGAGGCACTATATATCTCCCCTTTCTTGAACTAAGCTGAGGCAGTAGGTCTGTCTACTGCTGTGCATTTGAGCCAATAGGATCGCAGGGAGCGGTAACTACATGTAACAGCGCACACGATACATGTGTAATTAAGGACATCATGGTTCAAATGAGAGATGTGACTGATGTGTACTGCTCTTTCTTTTTTCCCAGGATCACAAGCAGGCCCGAAGTCAGCCTTTACCTGGTGCCAGCCTCTCACTGGGAAAGTGTTCGTCTGGAGCGCACGATTAGTCGACTTGGTGCAGGAATGTTTCTTCCCGGTTGAGCTCAGGGGGTGATTGCAGCTCATTTCGTATTTGTACTGGTAAATACAGTCCTTCGAGTATTCTGCGCCATCGGAACGTGGTGAAGTTTGTCTGTCGAGACTGCTTTTCGATGATATGTTGATATTTCCACACAGTTTGCTTCATGATAGTGGTGGCCCTCTCTGTCAGAGCTGTGGGTTTCACTCGCGCCAGAGAAGATTGCTCTCTCCTCACCACTTCTGTAGCGCTGCTGAAATGCTGTAGCATGTCAATGACCGTGTCTTCAGCACTCTGCGCAGCAGCAGCTTGTACAGCGTTGAAGACTTCTTTTCGGGCGGCGTGACCGTGCCATTGCAGTGAATGGCAAAGCACGGAGGCAATCGCAATCTCCTGCCACGGGTCCGCTTGCGCGTCTAGGAGCAGCTGTACATTTGTCCTGTGCCGATGGAGGACAGCAAGGAAGAGTGGTGGTAGCGCTCCTTTCACGGGCATGACCGAGGCACCAGCCTCGAGCAAAGTTTGAACAAGCTGTGAGCTGCCCAACTCAACTGCTAATTCCAACATAGTGGTAGGTTGCGTTTTGGGCGGGATAGTATTGGGGTCAGCTTGGGCTTGTAACAGTAGATAAGTTAAGCTGGCCCCATGTCGAGGGAAGCAGTGGCCGGCAGTAGGCTGGTAAGCATACGGATCAGCAGAATGATCTCGAAGGATAGCAGAGGCTACTAGTGTGCTGGTATGCCCTCCCTCCGTCGTCACGCCCATAAGGCCTAATCCCTTGCCAAGGAGATAGCTTACATCCATCACGTCTTTGTGATAAATGGCTGTCATAAGGTCTTGATATTGCTGTGCTGATGGGACTTGCAATGATTGCACTATATAGCATAAGGTTGCCTCATTTGCATCAGTATCAAGTTGAACAGCCCTCAGTGGCGATTGGATTACTGACGAGCTGTCTGCATAGAGGACCACTTGGAAGGGTGAATCCAACCTAAGCACCATCGCCATCTGTTTCATAATATCCCATCCGAGAGTTGTCCGTTCCATGACGTCCATCGTCAGGGCTATTTCTCCAAGGAGTCCATGGCGCACACGGAGTCGCATACTTGCCCCGTAAGATGAAGCGGAGGCAACCCTGACAGTCTTTAGCCAGAGAGACCTCGCACTTATGACTGCAACCACAAAACTCGTCTAGGTAGGGGATAGGGAGGATACTGAGGGGTATGCCTGGAAGTATAAAAAGTCAACAACTGATTTGACCATTTATACTTTAGCCAGAATTGCTTTGCAGATCAAACAAGAAAACCTTGCCACGTGGTCTCATTAACATGCAAGACAACACAATTTATGCATAACAGCAAGTCAGATGTCACAGGCACGTGCTGTACAGC